TAAGGGACCTCTCTGAGGATGTACCTAACTGTGACCAATTGTTGGGAGGTTGAGCCATAGGAGGACAAGGTGACCAAGTGCTGCAGGTAGAAAACTGGCCAGTACAGAGATCCTGAGGTAAGGACCAGCTTGGCCTATTGGGAAAGAGTAAAAACAAACAAACCAACAACAACAACAAACACTTTGCCCAAGGTTATCAACCCAAGGTCAAGGACAGATCCTCCAAGTCCTCACTTCCTCAGGCTGCTGTAACAACTCAACCACAAACCCAGTGGCTGAAACAGCACAGATTCGTTACCCTCTGGTTCTGGAGATTCAGGGTGCGATTCTGGTCTCACTGGGCTAGAAGTGTCTGCGGGAATGGTTCCTTCTGGAAGCTCTAGGGCAGCTGCTGTCTCCCGGCAGTTTCCCGTTTCTAAAGGACGCCCCAGCCTCAGGCTCACGGCTCCTTCTCCACCCTCCCGGCCAGCAGCATCAACTTCAGGCCGCATCTCAGGCGTGGTCCCTTCTGACCCTGTGATTACAGAGGTCTCACTCGAATAATCCAGAACATGTGTCCCTCTTCAAGATCAGTGGTTCAGCCACTTTGACTTCATCTGCCACCTTTGCCGTGGAAGAGAGCGCGTTCACAGATTCTGGGAATTGGGACGGGACGTCTGTGTGGGGCTGATACACGGTCGTGGTCAGCTAGGTAAGGGGTTTGGGGTTTCTTCCTGCATGATGCTGGAGGTATCCTGATTGTGAGCCTTTTGGGGTGTGCTGAGCACTGCCACAGCACCCTCCTTCAGGGGAGCAGCCTCCTGGTGTCATCGCTCCCCCGGGGCCCACCCAGAGCTGCCCACCTTGTGTTTCCCGTGAAGTTGGCTCTCTGCTGCCAACTGCTTCTGGCCAAGGTCTCCCTCTTGTTTAGCCTTGAATCTATTCCAGGGCTCTCTGAGTGGCCTAGGGAAAACTCCGCTTTAGGGGCTTTTCAAATCAGATTTAAAAAATCAAAATACCTTAGAAATGATTCTGTGAGGCCACCTTCATGTTGCAAGAGGGAAATGCCATCAGTCTGCCGTATCCGAGGGCTCTGGATCCACGCATTCAGTCAAACTTGGATTGAACATATTTGTTAAAACTTTCAACTATGCTGAACACTTTTCTTATCATTATTCTGGACCTGATAGAACAAGTATTGACATAGCATTTGCATTGTATTTAGTATTATAAATAATTTATAAATTATTAAAAAAATTCTTTTAGTTGTAGTTGGACACAATATCTTTATTTATTTTTATGTGGTGCTGAGGATCAAACCCAGTGCCTCACACGTGGGAGGCGGGTGCCCTACCAATGAGCTACAGCCCCAGCCCTAATTTAGAAATTATTTAAAATATATGGGAGGACGTGTGTAGCTATATGCAATTAGTACATCATTTTATATAATGGACTTGAGTATCCATGGACTTTGATATCTATAGAAATCCCGGAACCAATCCCCCCAAAATACCACGGGATGTCTGTATATAGTTTTGATATTACCATCTTTAGTTTAAGTTACTCTTTGTCTCATTTGCCTTTTACTCAACTTAAAAGTCATCTTCAGTATTTCACTAAATTACTTAATTATTCATGTTAAATTATATGCTTACTGTGACCAATATCCTTGTATGACGAAGGGTTACAAAGGAAGCAGAGATGCTGCCCTATTTAGCTGTACATAGAGCAGTGTAAAAAAAAATGCCAGGAAATGACCATAGTCATAATGAACTGTCTAAATTAGTACAAGACGGTAAAACTCATTGGTAAAATTAGAAAAATCTTTGTTTTAGGGACAAGCTTTCCCAAAACTTGAGAATCAGCTCTTTGACTATTTGCATGTAGGTTTAGGGTAAGGATGGTTCTGCAGGGGTTGTTACAACATCTGACCACCACCATGGACCACCAAGAATAATCAGAAGCCACTTCCTGCCAAAAGTGGCTTTGCATGACCTCCCGTTGGATATTTTTTTTGCTAGTTAATATCTCTTCATTGTTTTCAAGAGTGGAAGGTATTGTGGCAGCTCTCAGAACTCCTGGAATCATTGATAACGGGTATTCATCAAGTGTCATAATAGAATGGTCTCTCAGGAGGCTCATGAAAACAAGTCTGTGAAGATCGTAGGCCAACTAGCAGGGCAGCAGAGAGTCTGTGGACTCGGCTCCCCAAGACCCCAGCTGGGAGGGGTGGACCGGCCGCAGGGCTCTCCACGTCAGATTGTGGTGACTGTTGTGGTGCCTCGTAGAGGCCCCCTGCAGGAAGGAGCCCTGGGGCTGAGGTCCTGGATTCTGGCTTATCATCCTGAGGTGGAAGGCAAAAGGGCAAGAATGCACCCGAGAGACAGCAAGAGACCAACCCTGAAGGCCCCAGTCCTCTTAAAATAGGCCTTAACTCATTCACGAGGGCAGAGGTCTCATGACCTAAGGAGTGCCCCCTCAGCCCGCTTCTCAGCACGGGGCTTTAGGGATTCAGTCTCCAACACAAGCTCTGCAGCAGACACATTTAAACCACACACAGCCGTATCTCTAAAGCAGAAGGTTTCGCTCTTTCTTCTTTTTTCCCACACTGTCACCCAGACCTGGGAACTCGAGGGAAGGATCTAGTAGTTTGCATTTTAAAACGTTGCCTAAGGGATTCTGATGCCTGAGAACTAGTGCAAAGAGGGCTATTCAACTTTAGCACAATACAGATGGGCTGAGGCAAAATCCAGCTCATGATTATTAACACCAGGGTAATTCCTCTCCACGGTCATTCTGAAACTAAGGGAAAATTAAAATAAGCCCTCTTGCTCTCTGGGCTGTTAGATGACTTTCTTTTTTAAACCACTTATTTTAGAGGTTACATAGATAGACAACAGATTATAAGTTTCCCATTAGCTTTGCTAAAGATAGTACCTCCAGTGTGTGGGTCACGATGATATCTGTTGCCTGGGTGCTTTTCAGAGATATTGAGGCCACTTTACCATGAACCACTGACTCTTCACCTAGGCCTGTTTGAATGAAGATCAGATCATGCTAACGATCATGCTAATGAAGCCATTTTCTCAACATGTGTCCCACGAAGATTGATTTCACATGTGCAGATCACCTACTACTTCCCCCTCAGTCACCTTTCCACCCTGCTTCTTTGTCCCCTCGATATCTCTAAAGCCGATCCTCACAGAGGTGGGTTTAGACTTAGTTCTTCCACCTCGGCGCTTAGCTGCCTTGCAAATAAACTCACTCTTTTTGCAAAACTCATTGTTTGAGTGATGGGCCTACTGTACTGTGGGCAAAAGGGGGCTGCTTTAGTAACAGTCCCGATAACCTTGTTCCAGGCAACCTGGAAGGAATTCCTCTACCTGTCTCATTAAAAAATGACACTTTTCCTGCCAAAGACTTTCTCCCATTTTCTCATTCAAGGTCAAGTTATATGTTTCTCCTTTCAGCAACCTGGGGTCCTTCTCTGACGGGGGACCCTGGAGAGCAAGGACAGGGCCTCACTTCATGGGCCAGGGATCTAGGAGAGGTACAGTAATGCTTGCAGAACACCATTGATGGCAACACTGCTGAGATTCCAGCAGAGAAACAGGCCGTGAATCCATCCATCAGCCAGAGTGGATCAGGGTCCTCCAGAGAAGCAGAGCCTATGGGTGTGTGTGTGCACAGAGAGATTTATTTATTTTAAGGAATTGGCTCATGCAAAATCTGTAGAGCAGCCTGGAGAGCAAGGGAAGGGTTGAGCAGCTGGTTCTGGGGTTCAAGTCTGTTTAATTTCCTGCTCCAGAGAGTCAGTGTTTTCCCCCACAGTCACCTGACTAGAAGAGGCCCGCCCACATGATAGATCCTGCGTTATTCAGAGCCCTTTGACTCAACTTCTAATCACATCTGAAAACACAAAAAGAAACGATTTCACAGCAGGTGTTTGACTAAACATCTGGGCGCCACGGCCGAGTCAAGGGACCAACACACCAGTGGCACCATGGGGCTGGGGCTGTGGCTCAGCGGTAGAGTGCTCACCTCACAGGTGCGGGACCCTGGGTTCGATCCTCAGCACCACATAAAAATAACTAAGTGGTAGTGTGTGCAACTACAACTAAAAAATAAAAATTAAAAAAAACCAGTGGTACCATAGGAGCTTAGGAAGCCCTAGAAAGAGCCAGGTGGCTGGAGTGGATGCAGGCGTGCCTGCTCAGGGGCACACAGGTGCACACTCCCGTGAAGGCACACACACATACGCTTATGTACACCTGTGGCAGTGACCCCCAGGTGCATTCTTGGAGGTACAATTATTGAACTTAGGTCAAGATCTGAGCCGTTCTCCAAACCTGCAGTTCTTCGTGTAACAAGAAAGCAAGTCAAAAGCCACAGAGCACTTGGTCAAGGACCTAAAGGTCAAGTCATAATTCATGGTTTACGGATTTTGCCTGGTTGGCCCTCCTAATCACCTAACGGCTATCTAGGCAAATAGCCCTTCCTTAGGAGGCGTTGACATTTCAGTCTGTACAGTGAATCAAACCATGTTGGCCACCCCTAACTAGTCCCACTCCTTCCTTTATCACCTTATGGCATTTACCCCACCCAAAATATCTTAAATAGTCGGTGTGGTTATGAGGAATTTAAATTCAGAATTCTTCCTTCAGAGAACTGGGACCCAGCCCTCAACATCCTTAAAAATGATTGGGACAAAACTAAAAATGATCAGAGAGAGAGCATTAAATACTTTGGTTTCTCATTGGAACCATCTCACCAGCGTGTTTTTTCCTGCAAGCAAATATCAGAAACGTTTTAGCTTCCCGGGTTTTAAATTCCTGAAGCTTTGGAATTCTTTCAAACTAATAAAGACAATAAGGACATTTGAGTGAAATTTAAAAAAAAAATGATTTGTCTCATTTGCCTCTGAGATGTGTTTGCGCAAAAAAGAGTGTTTCACAGGCATGATCTTTTGAAAGACTCCGATAATGTCTTTCAAAAGTAATGCGCCTGTGGGCCCAGCTGATTGTAACTGTAGGATGCACCAAGCACAGAAGGGAGCAGCCAGTGCCAGGCAGCGGCCAGGAGAGCCCTGGGGACTTTGTCGGGAGGCACTGGAGGACCTGGCATCTGTGAGCAGAGCTGACGTCATAGGACAGTCTGCTGAGCGGGCAGGGAGAGCCCCAGCTCCTGAGATGGCTTGAGAAGATGCTACTGTCAATTCCAGGCCAGCGATGCCCAAAGCTAAGGTGAGCAGACGCTTTTGTTCTTGGCTGCTGTCACCAGAGTTCCAAGGGATGGGTGATTTCAAGGTCATTGGAACATTTTGGTTGAGGGTGATGGAGGCGAGGCTGCAGGGTCTTGCGGTGGAGAGAGGTGTGTGGTTGAAAGAGCCCCACTGGGTGCCGACCACATGTGAAAGTTCTCTGCTTCTAGCTGAGCCGCCAGGAAGGTGGCTGGGAGGGGCCTCCTCAATGACCCAGCAATTGTTTAGACAAACCACATCACAATCCAGTTTGCACGTCTGAAAGTGAAAGTCACACCTTCATTTCCTCTTTGAAAATATCATAAAAACAGATTAGATGCACCTGAAAAGAAACGAGAGCTTTTCAGGCAGGTGGCTTAAATTTAGAGAGTATTTTAAGGCACAGTAACATTCTGGGGTGGGGGGGGAGAGGCAAAAGAATCCCTTAATAAGCATTTTTTAGCAAGAGCACACTCACGAGCGTGCCCAAATGTTGGCCAGGTGTGTGTGGAATAGGAAAGTCAGAACTCGACTTTTCTTGGAGAATTCACGCCCAAACTAAAATAAATATGATTCATTTTTAGGATTTTGTTTGTGTTGCAAAGAGCCATGACTAAGACCCTAATTCTTTGCCTCATGGGGCCACATCTCCAGGCATCTTCTGAACACGGGGAGGGGAGGTGACCAGCACTTTGACACGTGTAGGTGAAGCTAGCAAGAGACTCCAGGGTCTTGTGTTGTCATGTCCTGGAGCACCAAGGGTAAAAGTCTCTCTTCTGGAACCCTTCTCTCCCACCCTGAAGCCCCCCATCCATGTAGCCATTGCCCATTAGTTGAGTCTTAAACTGAGCCTGAGACTCCAGGGTCAGACTCTGGATGCTGAATAATAACCTGCTGGTACAGGGGGAAAAGCCCCAAATCTCTCAGGTCCTTTTGGATGCTCTCATCTGATGGTTGAACTGTCACATTTACAGGAATGACATCTCCCAGCTGTTCAGGAATTTTTTGTGCCAGGTTCCACTCAGAACAGTATCGATGGTGTCAGCATCCCCACAGAATCTTCCCCACTTAAAAAAGAAACAAAAACTGGTTTCCCTCCTGTAAACTCAAAGATGTCCCTCTGGCAAGCAGCATTTTATGTGGATGCTAATGTTTCCCACTGAATTCTATCTTCCTCTTCCCAAGCCCTTAATTCTGAGATAACATCATAGCCTCAGATGAGGCTTGATCTAGAACAGTTGCTTGGAGAGCACTGAAACCGTCCCGGGCATTATTTTGGACAAATTGAGCCTGGCAGGCATTAACCAAAATCAGATCAGATCAACCAGCATAAAAGAAAAAGGAAACTTTCAAATGCTACAAGAAGTAGACAGAAAAATTCATTCAATCAAATGGAAAAAAAGAGTTCCGATAAGCAGAGATGTGACTAGTGACTCCTGCCACCCCCCCACCATCATGGGCATGCACACGTGCAGGCACACCCACACACATGCGGGCACATGAGCATGCACACACATACACATGCGTGTTCACGTATGCATATCCAGGTATGCACACATCTTATGACCACACTCCTGCCATTCTCTTTGTCCATCTTCTCCTTTGGGGGTTCAGGCCCTGCGGGATGATGTGGGTGGCTGCGTCCCCAGAATGATTTTATATGCAGGAAAAACCACTCACTCCTGACCTCCTGCCCCCTTTCCTTTCCTTTGCTGACCAGTGCTGGAATTAGGTGCTCACCTGCTTCCACATGAAGCAAGACTTCCATCCTTTGTTAAGAAGCCCCGAATCTCTGAGAGTCCTTGGATCCTGGTACGTAGCCATTTTTCAAATTCCCTCCTGAAAGCACCTGGCTGAGCTGCAGGGAGATTCAGGTGGCAGGTGAGCGTGAGAGCTGTGAGCAAGCCCTAGCTTTCTCACCCATGATACACCCGGGAAGCCTGTTTAAAAACTAATCTGCAAAACCTCCTAGCTTAGCGATTCTCCTCTGGGGGCTGCACCATGAAGAAAGTCTACAATTAGGTGGGAGGTATGCACAGGTGGATTCGTGGCAGAAATTTTTAACTGCAAAAACTTAGAAATGAATCAACTGTTTGTCAGTGGGAGATTTGATAAATAAACGGTAATATATTCATAAAGAAATAACAGAGTGACTGAGATTTACCTGTATCAATGTGGACATATCTCCTACATAAGATGCTCAAGGACAAAAGCAACTAGCAAAGGAATACCTGTGTGACGGTACAGCATTTAAAGACAAGGCAAACATGAAAGAGTCATGCAACCATGTCATGCGTGTGCCACGTGAGGAATGGGTGGAATGAGAGACGCTGCGCTGGGGACAGCAGCAGCCTCTGCAGAGCTGGGTGGGAGATGGTGATGTGGAGCGTGGAGATCGTGATGCCAAGGGTGGAATGCACATGCGTATGAATCTCATTGCCCCTGATCTCATTTTTGCATTTCTGGAATATTTAATATATAAATATGTGTAGTTGTGTTGTTGTACAGGTATAAATGCTAACTAGAATGAATAAAAAGAATCAAAAGTGTGCTTTGAATATTAATTTTTCTGTGCAAGTCGTGAATGTTCAATCAATAAAATGCTTGTATCCTGGGGGAAAAAGAGCTCACTGTCACACTGCTGGAGTGGCCAGGTGACGGTGAACATTAGGATGATATTTGCTGTCAGCAAAGCCTTTTCTAAGAATCCAGGCGGTGAAGCTGGGGGGATCCCGCCTCCAGTCAGCCTGTTTTTACTCCCTGTGTCACGTCTGCACGGTCAGGATTCCCAGCCAATGTGGACACACCCTGGGCTGGGAGTAGCTCTGCCAACCTGGAAGGGGCTCACCTGGGCACTGTGTGGCTGAGTCACCTGGCAGGTGGGCTTGGCTATTTTCCAGGGTCGTCCAAACCTCCCTGGATGCCTCTTCTCCCCTCGGGGTGATCCCTCTGCTCACCGCCAGGAATTCCGTGGGCAGCTGCCCAGGTGGCTCTCACGAGAGGAGCAAGCTGAGCTTGTTTGCTGAGCTCACTGTGGCTGATCCGGAGGTCCTTGGGGGACTGTGTTGGAATCTCAGACCACAATCGAACCCTTCAGAAGCTTTTCATACCACTTGAAGTTTTCCTCCCATCCCTCTACTCCCTGCTTTTCGTGAACAAGCACAGCCTCACTGCAGACATCTGTGGACAGAATCTGGTGCCCACGGATCTGTTTCATCCCCTACCAAACCATCTAAAGGTTCCACCAAGGGTTCCTTTATTTTTCCTTTGGAACATATTATTGCTTATCAGCAGCTTTTGTGTGGTCATGTGGGATTCTATTTTGTGCTGCAATCTGTCACCAGACATAACTTTGTTTTACTTTTGTATGTTCTCACAGGAAATAAACATCAAGATATCAAGGATCAGCCTAATGATGGATTTCTGTCGCAGTGCCCCCGGACCATCATGTGCCAATGATCCCACGTGACTGGATATGGCGGGCAGCGTGCATTGGCCTCCTCCAGGGTTGGGCACAGAGAGCCCCACCCCACGCCAAAAGGAATGTTGGGGTGAGGCTGGGGTGGGGGTGGGAAGCTACTCACTGTCCCAGGCCCAGAGCCACTCACAGTGAAAACCGAGCTTAGTTGATCAACAAAAATACATGTGAAGCAGCCGAGAGGATGTATTGGTTTCTTTTTCTGGTAATTTCAACAAAACATAGTTCTTTACCACAGTCCCACAGTTTTCTGCCGGTCCCTTTGTTATACCTCTTGTCATGACCTACACTAACTTTTCTCTTTGACTTGGACAGTTATCCGGTGGGCTTAATTGTCTCTGCCAAGAACTATGGTCAATCACTTGCTTGAAAACCACTTACTGATTATTCTGTGACATCTTTGAGGGCCACAATGATGCTTCAGATATTGACATCACTAGGATTAGAGTCAGGATCAGAGTAAGTATCATGGGAAGAAAGCAGGGGGTGGTGGGAATTCCAGTAAGAAGAATCCCAATGAGCAATTTGTCTTTAGGTTAGGGGAAATTGAAGCATACAGTTGGAACAATAAATGCAGTTGATTGCAGAGTGGGTGAATGGTTGGGCCACGAGTCCCCAAACTGAATGGAGTTGCCAGTATTTGTGTCATGGAAAGAACTTCAACTTCTTTCAGTTGGCTGGGGGTCCCCATGTCTATATTGATCCAGGGCTCGGTCAGGAAAACATTAGGAGGGCACTTCCTCAGGTTGTCTTTTTATTGTTTGTCTTCTCATGGTGGTCGTCCTACTGACATATGTTATGTGCATGATAAAAGAATCACAGAAGTAGGCAAGCAATGATGAGATAGAAAATGAGGACAAGTTCTAAGATTTTATTTGTGTGCTGAGTACTCCGCCTTTTAGAGACATGATTTTTAAAAGCTGTGGGGGAAAATTGAAAGTTAAATCCCATACTCTCATCCTTCTCTAGACAGAAGTCCAGAAGCTGAGGAGTCTCAAGGAAGATATGTCTTAGTCTGTGTTCTGCTACTATAACAGAATACCCAAGACTAGGTTATTGATAATGAACAGAAATTTGGTCCAGAAAGCTAGGAAGTCCAAGAACATGTTGCAACCTGCTTTTTCTGTTTAATAACATGTTAGCTATTTGTTTTCAAGTGGTTTTGTGTTCTCTAATATCATTTTTTAAATTCTGGTAAAGTACACATCACATAAAATGTATGATTTTAACCATTTATAAATGTTTAGGTCAGTTGCATTCAGCTATATTCACATTGTACAATCTCACACCTCCAGAACACATCTCAAATCTGAAACTCTGTACCTGTTAAAAAACTCTTCTCCCCCAGCCCTTAGTAACCTCTACTCTACTTTTTCTCTTTATGAACTTTAGATACCTCATGGAAGTGGGTCACGCAATATTTTCCCTTCCATGACTGGCTTATTTCACTTAACATCGTGTCTTCAAGGTTAAAAAATCCGAACATGTGTCAGGATTCTCTTCCATTGGAAGGTTAATGTTTTATTCTAGTTCAACATCTTTTTAAATGATTTACAGTGTTTTCTTTTTCAAATGGTTTATTTAGCTCAAGCTTGATTCTTAGATGGTTGGTTTATTTCCATTTTTGTCTTTTCATATACAACACGGTGGTGAAGGTCTTCGTAGCTAAATATTTGTGCAGATAGATGACAGTGGAATTGCTGAGTCACAGAATGGAGCCACACTCTAAGCAACCTCACGAGGTTCTGGCCTTTCACTTTGATGACGCTCCCTTCCAGCCCACCAGCACCAGCTGGTCTCTGATACCTGAAATTCCACCTCTAACAATTTGTCCTGTTCTAAACAGCTCTTCTGTTACCGTTATGACCTTTCTTAAGGAAAAAAAATATTAAAATGGCACCATTTTGGAGGACTGAACTAACATGTCCATTCTGTTTCCTTACTGAGAGAAGAGATTTAGGGTAGGGAGGGGAGAAAAGCAACCTTTTCTGAGTCTGTTATGTATGTCCGGACCTTTTTATACTGTTTCCTTGATGGCATCTCACTCTCTAGCCTTTGAGTCAACCTTTTTGAAGTCTAATTTTTTGTTCTGAGATGATTTTAGATTTTCAGAGGAGTTGTAAATATAGAGCAGAGATTTTCTCTCTTCACTCCGTTCCCTCTAATGTTAAAATCTTGCATAACCATGTTCCTTTCTCCCAAAAAAACCTCACTGGCACTACACTGTCAACCAAGCCGCAGC